CCTTCTCCCAGGGAGCACTAAAATCTATAAGCAAATAAAAATTAAATAGACATTTAAAAATATGAATATGTATTTAAAGAAGCTTCCTTTATTTTAAATTATAAAAGTACCTGTCTAGAATCTGGCTTAATTAAAACCTTTGTTTTTCTAAATAGTTGGACACTTGATGAAAAAATTGCCTCTTAGAAAAATCTCAACTTTATAATATGCATCTGTTCATGATGATACTTTCTCTAATTAGTGATCAAAATAAGGAACTGATATCTCACTTGGAGTGTGTTTCTGAGTAATTTTTAAAAAATAAGTATATACATGTTTCAGACTACTTTTTTAAAAATAAAACTTAGAGATTCATTAAAAAAAAAAAAAGAGAGACCTATGTCAATACAGACTGGTTAACTCACTCTTCTTAAATCAGTGTCTTACCCTACACTGAACTTCACTTCTTTCTCCCAAGGAAAAGGTCCACGTTCAGCCTTCTCTTGTCTAAATTCCACCCATTCTTCAAATCAAGCTGAAAGGGCCATAGAGGCCCTGATGGAAAACCACCTCAGATCTATTATGGTAAAAACAAACAAAACCACCCCACAAAAACCAAAAACAACTTATATTTGCTAAATAAATACATATTGAGTTCCTGACCTTTGTGAGCCATTTTATAGGCACGATGGATAAAGAAAAGGTGGAGGCCAGTCCTAATGTATCTCACACTTTAATGATTCCTGCCGCGTTCTATCCAACCCATGCTGACTCTCTATTTGGTTTCCAAAGCAGTGTATCTTAATGGGAAGAGACTGCTCATCTTCCCTCCATGGAGACAATGGATTCAAACCACCAATCTTTCAATTAGCAATGCAACACATTACACACCAATGTCACCAGAGCGCTAAATCTCACAAGTTAGCCTAATTAAACACTTTTATGTCTTATTTTGGGAGTTCACAACTAGATTAAACTCCTGATACTCTAATCTTCTTGGTCCATCTCTCACAGCACTCATTGTCAGTATCTCCAACAATTCTACAAACAAGCTTGATGGGCTAAATGATTAGGCCTAAAAAGACATTTGCAGAAACATGTTAATATATGTTACTGATCTGCCTTTTTAAGAAGAACAATGCTTAGAAGTAAAATAGCCAATCAAATGTTATTTAATAAAATAGCTTTCTTTCATTTGTTTTATAGGAACTCTAATTCCAAAACCAAAGCACACTAGAAGTACATGTTGGTTTCCCAGATGCTGCTTCTTCAATGCTGTATTAACCAGAAGCCCCTCATCTATAAGATATTATACTGTGCTATGCCACTAGAATGCCCTGGAAGCCTAGTAGCAAGAAGCTATGCTGCAATTCCAAAGGCACACAGTTCAAATCCACTAGCTGCTCCATGAGAAAAGGATGGGCAATCTCCTCTGGTGAGGTTAAACACCTTTGAAAGTCAGCTGGAGGGTCAGGTATGGGTTGGTTCTGACTTGATGGTACATAACAATAACAACATGCTAATATGATAGTGATAAAAGACATTCCATTACTATTGAAAGGAGGAGTTTCCTTTTTTTAATTCAAAAAGCAAAAAAGGATTGCACTTCATATTTCTGAATATGTTTTGGGCAAAATGCCTCTTTGTTGTGGGGAGCTGTTCTATAATTGCAGGATGTTTCATAGTACCCATGGTCTCTACCCACCAGACACCAGCAGCAACAGTCAAAAATGTTTCCACACATGGCCAGATGTTCTTTGGGATGAAAAAATTGCCACTGGCTTAGAACTACTGTTACATTTAAAAACGTTAATTCATCATTTATTCTACAGTGATGCAGTCTGTTAATACTGAAATATACTTACATTCGGAGATCCATAATTCTCAAAGTACTATCTTTGGTATGAATTAATAAACGTTTTCCATTGGGATGAACCTCCAAATAACTTATTGGAATCCCTTTAAACTCACTCTCTTTAATTTCCTAAAATGATATAAAAAGAAGATTTTATATACATACACACACATATATATATACCACTATGAAAAGGCTTGTCTACTGATAAGCGTTTCTAATTTATTCTTGGAAGTAATTTTCAATTTGGCTGTAAGATTATTTGCAAAAAGAGCTGTAAATTCACTTAGGCGTTGAAAATGAACTTGTATAAATTAAATTTCTGCTATTTGTTGTTATTGTTATGTGTCATCAAGTCACCTGCAAATGCTTTATTTATTTATATTTTAGGATATTTACTTTCTAAAATTTAGCCCCAAATCAACACTTCTAAAATATTCCTTAACAAGGTATTTTTAGCTTGTTGTTGATGCTGTCAGGTGCAGTCGAGTCACTTGCGACTCAAAGTGACCCTATGTACATCAGCCCTAAATGCTGCCCTATCTCTTGCCAATCTTCTTGTCTCTGACACACCCATCCCCATTTCCCCAGTGATGGAATCAATCCATCTCATCGAGGGTCTTCCTCTCCTGCGCTGCCCCTCCACCCTCCCAAGCATTACGTCTCTCTCCAAGGACCGACCCCATCTTGAAACATTTCCAAAGTATGTCAGTCAGAGCTTCAGAATTCTTGCCTTCAAGGAGCAGCCTGGCTTTACCCTCTCCAAAATGAACATGTTTGTTCTCCTAGCAGTCCATAGTATATTCAGTATTCTTCTCCAGCACCAAAGCTCAAAGGCATCAAGTCTCCTTCTATCATCCCTAGTCATTGTCCAGCTCTCTGATGCACCGCAAGTAATGGTATCAGGTGCACCTTAGTCTCTAGACTAACATCGTTGCTCCTCAGTACCTTGGAGAGGTCTCTGACAGTAGACTTTCCCAATGCAATATGTCTTTTAATTTCCTGGCTGCTGGTACCAAGAGTGTTGATTGTAGAGCCAACCAAACGGAAGCTGTCAACAATCTCAATCTCTTCACCATCTATCATGATGCTGTCAATTGGCCCAGTGGTGAGAATCTTTGTTTTTCTGACGTTGAGCTTCAATCCATATTTAAGGTTGCAGTCCTTGACGTTCTACAGCAAGCACTTCTGGTCCTCCTCAGTTTTAGCAAGCAGGGTTGTGTCATTTGCATAATTCAGATTGTTGATGGGTCTACTTCGAATCTTGATGCCACACTTCTCCTCATAGAGCCCAGCATCCTGGATAATCAGTTCTGCATATAGATTGAAAAGATATGGACATAGGTCACACCTTTGATGCACATCCTTCCCAATTTTGAACCATGCAGTGTTTCCTTGCTCTGTTCTGACTACTACCTCCTGGTCCAAGTATAGGTTTCACATAAGCACAGTAAGTGTTCTGGGATTCCCATTCTTCTCAGTAAGCCCAGTTTGTTGTGATCCACACAGTCAAATGCCTTTGCATAGTCAATGAAACGCAAATACTAGTACTCTTTGCTTTTAGCCAAGATCCATCTGACATTAGCTATAATATTCCTAGTGGCACAGCCTTTTCTAAATCCAGCCTGCACTTCAGGCAGTTTTTTATTGATGTGCTGTTCATTCTTCAGCAGAATCTTGCTTGAATGTGGTATCAATGATATTGTTGGAAAATTTCCACAATCTGTCAGATCACCTTTCTTTGGAAGGGAACCAAATATAGATCTATTCCAGTCAGTAGGCCAGGTGGTTGCCCTCCAGATTTCTTGGCACAATTTGGTGAGCACATCCAGGGCAGCATCTATTTGTTGAATATATGTTAACTGGTATTCCATCAATTCCTGTGGCCTTGTTTTTTTGCCAATTTTTTCACAGCAACTTGAATTTCCTCCTTCATCACAGGCTCTTGTTCATACTTTGTTTCATGAAATATTTCTGTGTCCACCAATTCCTTTTGGTACAATAACTCTGTATACACTTTCCATCTTCTTTTAATGCTTCTTGAATCATTGAATATTCTGTTCAAAGCATCCTTAAGTACTGCAATTCCAGATTTGAATTTGTTCTTCAGTTCCTTCAGCTTAAGAAATGCTGAGCGTTTTCAGCCTTTTTGATTTTCTGACTCCAGCTCCTTGCACATTTCATTGAAATACTTCACTGTGTCTTCCCTCACTGCCCTCTGAAATCTTCTGTTCAACTCCTTAATATCTTGATTTCTTCCCTTTGCTTTGGCTTCTTGGTGCTCCAGTGAAATATTTAGAGTTTCTTCTGACATCCATCTTGGTCATTTCTTCCTTCTCTGCCTTTGTAATGACCTTGTGCATTCTTCCTGGATGATATTATTGATATCCTCCCACAGCTCATCCAGTCTTCACTCATTAATGTCCAAGGCCTCAAACCTGTTCCTGAGATGGTTTTGAAATTCAGGTGGGATAGACTCAAGGTCAAGTTTTGGTTCCTGTGGACTTCATTTCATTTTCCTCAGCTTCAGCTTGAACTTGCATGTAAGTAGTTGGTGGTCTGTTCCACAAATCATCATACAAAGCAGAAAGCTTCTGAGAATTTTTTTTCTTTAGACACACCATTATATTTGTGGTGGAACTTTATGCCACAAACTAGGTTCCCATTTAACAATTTCTCTATATACCAGCGACACTGGTTATACGTTCTACACTGGGCCCACTGTCTCATCGTGTTCATTCTGGCTGTTTCAGTTCCATTAATTTGGCTCCCTTACCCCTTGCCTATCTCTAACTTTCTTAGTTTTCTATTAGGACAAATTATTTCATACAGATGAGTTCTGGGGCTTTTTAAACACCTACTTCTTTATTTGTATGAATATTTGCATGGTAAATCTTTTCCCTTCTTTACTCAAAACCTATGGATACCTTTCATTTTGAAGTGATTTTAAATAAGCATTATCTAGTTGAGTTGTGCTTATTTTGTTCACTCTACAAATCTATCTAATATATTTAAGCTTGTTTCCTTTTTTAAAATTTCACATTGATTTGCTCACAAAGTTCATATATACCATGTTTCACACTATTTTTTTATACATAGTATACTTCATAAAATCATTCCCATGCATTATGTTTTATAAAATCAATCATCCCCTCCCTCCACCCACCAAACTGCAACCCTGCAGTTTTGCCCCTACCCATCCTTCCTGTTCTGCTCCTCCGCCCTCCCCCCTTAGGTTCCCATACATGTTTTACTAGTTATCCTTCTATTTTTATAACAATGGTCTTATGCAGTATTGGACCTTATGAGACTGAGTTAGTTCACTCAGCATAATGCTCCCTAGATTCTCCCATGTTATACAGTATTTTTTAAAAAATCATTATTGATCTTTAAAAAATAAGTATAAGATTCATAGGTGATGCCTTTATTTTATGAGCCACTTTGTTACGCTGCTGAACGGTGACATCTGGGAGAGGTGTCAGTTCCAAGTTTAAAAGGGAGCTCAGGGCAGGTCATGGGGCTTCCTGTAGTCTCCACCAGTCCAGTAAGTCTAGCCTTTTGTACGACTTTGAGTTTTAGTCCATGCTTACTATTTGGTCTATGATTCTATCTGAGATTCCATCTCATGTATTTCTGGTCAGATTGGCCAGTAGTGGTAGAAAGACATCATAAGGTTCTTCTGCTCTCAATATAGCCGAGGCCATGGTTCAAGCAGCTTTACACCTGCAGCTTCCAATTTTACAAATTTAAAAGTAAGCACTGAAGCAATTTTCAATTCTACCCCTATCTCAAACTCTCTGACTATATAATTTAACTTATCCTGAAGTGGTAATTATCAGACTTTTATTCTGAAACAATTATCCTATAATATTAGGGTTTGTTTTTTGGTTTGGTTGGGGTTGTGGGTTTTGTTGATTTTTCTATTTTGTTGAAAGATATTGAAGACTGTGAAAGAAGGCAACCCACCAATGATGTCAGAGAAGATAAACACTGAAGGAGTACCAACAATCTAAGTCCTCCGCAGAAAGAATTAACAAAAGCCTTTGTTAGGATTACTGAGGAGGAAAAAATGGCAATGCAAAACTCCTTAGGCTTAAAACCCCAGAGTCAAGGCAAAGTGTGCTATAAGTTGTAGGCAGAATTCTGAACTTGCCTTCTTGCCCCGGGGATCCTCCTTATTGCTCCTGCGCCCTTCCACAAAGGGATCTCCTCATCACAGGAGGCTTAGCACTAGCACTCCTTGTGTGTACTTGACATCTTACTTTGGAAGCAAACAACTGCTGCAGCCCTAACACTGGTAGCTGAGCCTCTACTACAGCTGCTTAACACGAAGATTTGTTTCATCTATTTTTTTTTAAGTTTCAGAAAAAGTCAAGAATTGAGAGCACAGATGGGGCTTTCACTGAGCCGTGCTACGATGATTTGGGGCTGAGGGGGGCACGGTGGAGGCCTGAGCAACTGCAGCCACGCTTCACAGACGCAAATGTGCAAAACCGAAACAAAACTGCCTCGCAAGTTAAGTGTTAGGTGCAAATTTGAGAAAGTTGCTGGCAGACTTGGTGTTTGTTGTATTCGTTAGTGATTCTCACCATATTTTTTTCTTTATCCTATTCATTCTCAGACTTAAAACAAACAAACAAAAAAAAGGGATTTTAAGTCAATGATTAAGCCCAAGGAATGAATAAAATAACAATATGCATAGCAGCCTCATGCAGCCAGAGTACCAAGAACAACCAAGAATGAAGGAAAAACTAGTAACAGTTTTTAACCTTCCCTCCGGCACTCTGTGAGCCCACTGCTGCCAAAAAGGCACATTCAAACACATTTCTTAATGTTTAATTTTTTTTTAACATCTCAAGTAATCATGAAGCTACAGACTGTCAAGGTAACTGTGTCCTCTGGTTACTAATATGATAAATAAAGATGACTTTTCACACAAATAGTAAGCTCTGCCTTATCTAGTAATTACTAATCAAGTATTGGGAAAATCTGCTGTCATGGACCTCTCCACAGCACTGAAGATCAACGATGTCAGTCTAGAGACAAAGGTGTGCCTAATCCAGGACATGGTCTTCTCAACTGTTACGCTTCAGAGAGCTGGAAAATGACTAAAGATGACAGAAGAATAGATGCCTTCAAGTTGTGGTGCTGGAGAAGAGTTTTGATGAAGTGCCAAGAAATCAAATAGGTCTGTGTTAGAGAGGGGAAAGAAACCATGTCTCTCCTTGGAGGCTAGGATTTTGAAGCTTGGCCTCACTTCGGGCACATGGCCAGGTCCTTGGAGAAGGACATCATGCTCGGAAAGGAGGACAGACAGCACAGGAGAGGAAGACCCTGGATGAGACAGATAGATTAATACAGTAACTGGGGCATCGGGGGTTTGTGTATTGTAATCAGTGAAACTGGCTCAGGACAGGGAAGGGATCAGAGCTGCTGTACATAGGGTCAATATACATCGCAGGTGACTCAAAGGCACATAACACAATAACATACTATGACAAGTTTGGAAGCAGGAGTGGCATCCACTTCCTAAACAACATGCCTCAGAAACTATGAACTTTGATACATGTCTATAGTTATGAAGGGGGCTCAGGCCTTTTGTTTATTATAGGGTTACTATGAGTGATGCTCGACTCGAAGGCAATCAACAACAATCAAGTAATTATGACTGGTACATCTGGAGCCTTTCAAATCTCTCAGGATTGCAAATAATCAGTTCTTTTTCTTTCCTAAAGTGTGTAAAATTATGTTACAGTAAGGCATCATTCATTAATCTGATAGAACGGACAACAATGACTAAATATAAAATATATTCTAATGGGTTTTCCATAGATCTCATAGGCTCAATAGATTTAATTACAGTTCGCAGAAATTCTTTAGGTGTATTCTAACTAGAACAAATACTGTTAAAATCTGTTATGTAAAAATGTAGAACAAATGTTTCGCAAATAAGGTAAAAACTACATAATTTCTAAAAAATAAACTCTAGCTTGTTGTTGTTGTTGTTATGTGCCATCGAGTCATTTGCGACTCACAGCGACTCTCTGTACAAGAACCTTAAATGCCGTTTTATCCTGTGCCAACCTCGCTGTCTCAAACACATTCATTCCCACCACTCCAGATTATGAAAATTATTTTTTAATCAAATGTAGGAAATATCCACCAATATACCTCCTCAAAAGACAAACACATTAAAAATACTTTACCTTTAAAAGAAAGGTGTTATGCATTTGTTTCTGCTTACTTCGTAAATTTTACATTAAGTAATTATCGTGGTTAAATAACAAACCTAAGTCTAATGATACGATTCAGAAACACTATGCTGCTGGAAAAAATACTGAACACAGCATTTTAACAAACTGTTACTGAGTCAAGAAAAAGGATGTATGATTAGCAGAAAATACTATTATTTACAGGATAATATAGTATGTTCTTAATTTTGGGGGGGGTACAGGTTTCATCTAATAGAGAATTGAATGCTATGTACAGATCCAGGGTTCAAAACATGAAGGTTAAGCTTGGCCTGAAAATGAGGAAAATTTTCAATAAGCTATACTTTATCATCAATTTGCTATCAGGAAAGTATAGGTATTGGGAAACCTGGTTTCTATCTGTTGTTTTGTTTGGGGTTTTTTGTTTGGGTGTTTTGTTGGGTTGTTTTTTTTGTTTTTGGTTTTTTTTTTAGAGAATAGAATGTCCTGACATTGATTTTTAAAGGGCACTTTTCAATTTTTCTAATCCCCTCAGATAAGAAGTAACACATTTTACCTTATTTACACTCCAGTGTCGCACTGAATGCTGCACGTCACTCACTTTGACGTAGGTATTCCACACCACAATCACTCCTGTGCAGTCTCCTGAATACATGTGGTGACCTATTTTAAAAACATCCTCATTTATGAATGTTACACAGAATTAGCCACAAAATAAAGCTGGGGAAACCGTATCCCAGTAAAACAGTCAAAGTAACAAACATTTACTATACAGTATTTCTATTTTAAAATTCATTAAAAAAAACACTCCACAAAATTTATATTCAAAACCCAACTATCTTTAAATGTCCTTCACTCTTGAATTCTTTTTTATAATGTATTCCCATTTGTGACTTACCTGCATTTGAATATAAAGATAAAAAGAACACCTCTGTCCATGTGTTTCTAACTCCTATTCCAAATTCAAATCAATTATTTAATAACTACAACACTTATATCCCTCATCTTTACTAACCAATTTAGTTTGCATTACCTCAAAAACATTCATATTCTACTACACTGGTGTTTGCTGTTAGGTGTCATGGAGTCAGTTCCAACTCAAAGTAAAACAAAACCAAAGGCCGTACAACCCTGTGCTTAAGTTTACTGTTCCAGTTACGGTCCCAATCCACTGGGTGAGCGGTTCTTCTCTCTTTTGTTGAACTCTGATGGCTTAATGGGAAGGCTTTGCGCTGTCAACCCAAAGGTAAGTGGTTCAAATCCACCAGCTGCTCTGCCAGAGAAAGATGGATAATCACCTCCTGTGCAATTAAAGATTCTGAAAACCTGCTAGAGGATCAGCCGTGAGTCAGATTCAACTCGAACGTATTATTATGTATTACTACGTAATAATAACAACAACAACAACTTTAAAAAAAATGATCTCCTTTTCCAGAACTGGCCCCTCTTGATAACGAACTTAGTAGCATAATGCCTGGCACCCGGTAGAAACTCAGTAACAATAAATTAACAGGTGTTCCATTCAACATTACTCTTAAGAGTTTAAATAACTTACATTTCAATGATCCCTCCAAGATTATCAATTTCAACTTCATATCCACTCAGGAATATCTTATACCCAATTATTAATAGATAGTTGTTCATCAACTATGAATACAATATTTTACTAAGCAGCTTGTTTAGTTGGTAAATTAGTCTATATAATGTTCTTTCAAATTTTTAGCAAAGCTGGATTGTGTGTGTGTGTGTGTGTGTGTGTGTGCGCGCGCGCGCCTTTGTCCCACAACCATCCACTGGAGAAACATAGGTCAATTTCCACTTTTTCTCCTATATTTAGGTATTTTATTATCTAGTATTTGAAGAAATCATTCATCTTTATCTTTTAATCTGAGAGTTACTCGTATGTCACATTATTTTCAGATAAATTTTTATGCTTGGTTGACTTTTTCTTGACTTGTTTCAATTTATTAACATTCCTATAGTTGAACTGTTTTAAAAAGGGTCACTATGAGTTGGAGTTGACTTGACAGAACATAGCTGAAATATATAAAAACGATCTGCTTCTATCTGGATTCTGTCTAACTGCGGCTGTAAGTCTGTATTATCTGAAATAATGCCAAAAAAGGGGGAGGGGGGACGATTTAGTAGTTATACTGAATTTACTTAACCTTTCAGCTAATGAAAGAATATTTCATACTTTTAAAACATTACTATCTATTATTGTACTAAAAATGTAAATAATTGCAAGCTTCTCTACTTTAAAAAAAAATGCTTCTGCTAAAATTAAATACAAATGTTCAATATAACCTTTTCATTTTTTACTCTTTGGTCCTAAAAAGCAAAGTATTATTAAGATGATAAACATTAACCCCATGAAGTATATGTGAAATATGTTGCATAAGTAATTCTTTTCACAAAGAGTAATTGGATTTAATTGTTTAGGCATTAATAACCTCAAAAATGTGAATACTTCAGTAACTATTGGTCTAGCCTATCATCCATCAATCATTCATTTAACAATTCCAAGCAACAAACAATTAAAAAAATTTCTCAGTATCTTAAGTAATTATTATTCTAGTAAAATAAAAAAAATAACTTAAAACATCTTCATGCACGTAGGCTTCACGTAGAGCACATTCTCTGACCTACCTTCCGTATCAAAACAGATAGAGTTGATAAAGCTTTTGTGAGTGTCAAACTGTCGGATCAAGATGGCAGGATTCTCCCTCATCTCAATCTTCCATATCCGTATCACAGAATCATAACATCCTGTAACCACCAGCTCTTTCACAGCTGGATGAAATTTAGCCGTGTAAACAAAGGAAGGATGAGGTAAAACTTTGAAAGTATTAGTATTATTTATTTCATTTTTCCATATCCTACGAAAGACCAAAAAAAAAAAATATATATTAGACCTTATCCTAGAAGGTAAAAAAGTTCTTTAAAAATTTCTCCAAGAACCAATATAGCCATCTGGACCTCAAGCACACAATGGATAATAATCAGTGGTAAAATAAGAAAATGAAAAATATATCAAACATGTTTGATGGGTTGATTTACAGATTTCTTAAAGTTTTATCAAGCACAATGGCTAATTTGTCCACTAATTTAGCTGAGACTGTGAAAAAAATCTAACTTTTCTGTAAACTTTTGTTAAAATGATAATTAAAATAAACAAAATTTATTTAAAAAAATAAAAGGGAAGAACTATCCAAAAAAAGAAATGTGATTCTTTAATAGAAAACAACCTATTACATATTTTTACTATATTTAACACTTATCTTTTCCTCTAAATAATAGCTAAGTTTTAATATTCCAAGATTATTATAACTTCTGAATATTTTTTAAAAGGAAAATGAACTGGGGGAGGGGGCAGAGGAAAATGTTTAACAATGAAGGGATGAAAATTCCATTTTTCTGTAAACTTTTGTCAAAATCACAATTGAAAACTTTTCTTAAAAAATTATTCTTATAACTTCTATAGTTTGAGACAACAATAAACTCTAAAGGCTGCATGGCTCTCTTAGACATTAGCATTTCCAACTGGTATGTACAAATAGGTAAAATCTAGCAACAGACAGGAGCATGGAATGTATGGTTTTTAACATATTGTTAAATCATGTTAAGAACATAATATTTTATAGGATGAGGAAATGCTTTATCATTTACCTTCCCAATTAAGAAGTAAAGCAGCTTAATTCTTTTTCAAACACTTCAACAGAAAAAAACACCACAGTTGCTAATAAAGAATCACATTGTGTGAGCTTCCTCAGCAGCTGCTTCGAATACAGGATATGGTCTTTCATTACTAAGCATCCAAACTAAAAATGGGGGAAGTGAAAGACTCTGTTTTCAAGTAAAACTAAAGCACGTGTGTCACTGCATAAACATCCTGGTCGGTTAACACTTCCATTGAACTTAATGTTACATGGAATATGGTACTGATCCAAAAGAAGTTATACCTCTGAGGGAGTATTAGGAAGACAGTTAAAAAGATAAAAGCTCAGTTGCTATACAGTATTTATCCTTGTGTGACTGAGACAGTTGGCTCAGCATAATGCTCTCTCGTCCCTCCCAAGTTAGGTAATAATTTACAAAGTTATTGCTCCTGCATGCTGCATAGTATTCCATTGTGTGATGAATGTATCATAATTTCTCAATCCATTTGTTTGTGGTTAGACATGTGGGCTGTTTCCATGTTCCTGCGATGGTGAATAATGCTGCTATGAACACTGGTGTACAAATCTCAGTTTGTGCCTCAGGTCTCATTTTCTCAGGGTATATTCCAAGTAGTAGAATAGCTGGGTCATATGGAATTTCTATGTTCAGTTTTTGAGGAAGTGCCAAACTGCCTTCCAGAATTGTTGTACCATTTTACAATCCTACCAACAATGTATAAGAGTTCCTTTCTTGCCAAATCCTCTCCAACATCTATTAAACTTTGCCACTCTTACTGGAGTGAGATGGTACCTCACTGTGGTTTTGATTTGCATTTTTCTTAGTGCCAGTGATTTGGAGCAATTCTTCATGTGTCTGTCATTCAAATATCTTCCCCTGTGAACATTCTTTCCATGTCTTTTGCCCATTTTGTAATTGGGTTATTGTATAAAACCATTATTGTAGAATAAGTATAAGGATCCAGGAGGGGTGGGAGAGTCTGGAAACAGAGGGATGTGGATGTGCAGGGGGAGGGAGGATTAAATACTGGGTTGTACAATTTGATGGATGGGGACGGTGAAGGAAATTAAAACAATTTGTTCTAATTGGTATTGGAATTTTGTAAATAAACTAGTAGAAAAAAGTAAAAAAAAAAAATTAAAAAAAGAAAAAGGAATAAACCTAGAGACATAAATTTCCTGATGCAGTCAATCTAATTCCTGTGCAGTCCATCAGGATATGTTCATGAGTACAGTCACCATTGGTGTTTCTTACAAAAGTTATTTTCTATGAGTAAGTCGTTAAATAAATAAAATTAAAAATAAAAACTCTGTTGCTTAATAATAACACTTAGTATCATTTGGTGCTAAAATATTATGTAATGAACATCTGAATGTAATTAAAACAGGCTAACATTTTAAAATGTGAATACTTACTTAGATTTAGTTTTAAAATGAAACTAGAATTCAAGCTAGTTTTAGTCACCCGAACACTGAAAGGATCCAACATCCGAATAAATCTATTCATGATTTCAGGGAAAAATCAGGTTGGTCATGGACATAGAACGCTTTAAGGATGCATCAACTTGGAAGTACTAGAAAAGAATGCACTCACATGTGTGCACATACATACAGACTCACAGACTTGGGAAAGGACTGAAATAAAGCATACACAAAACAAACACACAGAAAATGTAAAACCTTATGTATGTATGTATGTATGTATGTATGTATGTATGTATGTACGTACGTACGTACGTATGAAGACGAGTCAGAATAGTCTTTAAGGAGACATTACACATGGAAAAACCTTTCTGAATATATTAACAGCTGCTGGCCTGAGGAAAACAGATTCCTAATAACACAAAAAATCTTCAATCAATTGCTGTCAAGTTGGAAGCTACTCATAGCTGAGCCTTCAGTAGGTTTCTGGAGGCTATAAATTGCATGGGAGATTGTCCATCCAGAGAGGTGCTGCCTTTGAATGAGCAAAAGCACAGCTCTCTATGGTCTAGGCCACCAGGGCTCCTAACAACTAGAGAAAGGGATTTAGGCTAAACTGACATGTAAGTTAGAAATAGTAATTTAAGTGACGGGGATGACAGATGATAGATGGTTAACATGTGACAGTGATTCTCAGGAAGACACACTGAGAACAGGAGAAAGAATCCATGCTCCTCTGGTGGCCTGGTGGCAAAATGTTGTGCTGTAATCCTCAAAGCATGTGGTTTGAATCACACCACATTGATAGGCAATTTCCTCCCCCGCAATTAGCTGCCTCTGAAGTAGTCTGAACCCACCATCTGCTCTGTAGGAGAAAGATTGGCAATCTCCTTCCCTGCAATTAGCTGCCTCTGAAAAGCTCCAGAGGATCAGCTACAGGTTGGTTCCAACTCAATGGTATACAACAACAATCACATTTGGGTAGATTTTTCCTCCTGACTTTATTTTGATCATTACAAGTATTCTTTCTAAAATCTTATTAGCCTTTTTCTTTTTGTCTGTAGCAACAATGCTTCACTTAGTTAATGCATTACCTGTTCCCTTAGTTAATGCATTAACACAGGCAAATATTTATGATTTTGCTGTTATGTGCCATCTCAAGTCGCTTGCGACTCATAGTGACCCTATGTATGACAGCTCTGAACCCTGCTCAATCCTGAGCCAACTTTATTGTCTCTGACACACCTACCAGCATTACCCCAGTCACTGAGCCAATCCATTTCATCGACGGTCTTCCTCTCTTGTGCTGTCCTTCCACCCTCCCAAGCATGATGTCCCTCTCCAAGGACTGACTAAAAGGAAGGAAGTGGAATGATCTGCAGAGAGGAAGAGGTGAGTTCACCTGACTCTAAGTCTTACAGATCCATAGTCAGGCCACGTGTATTTCTCCAGCATTACCAGGCATCCAACAGAATGGCTACACCGAAATTAAGTAGACAGGGTCCCAAGGTTTTCATTTAATAGTGACTAGTAGTAGAGTAAGGGCTTGGAGGTGGAATGGATAAGAATATACTTGATAACTAAAGTCAGTAGATTAATCTGCCAGCTACTCCACTGGAGAAAGATGTGTCACTCTGCTTCCTTAAAGGTTTACAGCCTTGTGAACATCAAGAGTTAGTTCTACTGACTCATACAAAATCATTTTGAGTCAGAATTGACATGAGAGCAATAGGTCCTTATATTATGTTCTCAGCTGCACAGAAAGATATATCAATTGTTACCATTGTCACCTTTTTCATTTACACTTAAACTAAAAAGCAACAATAAGATCTCGACCATTTTCTTTTTAATAATAAGAAAAGAGCTCATAACAGTGAAAGTGTTAGAAGAGCAAGAAGCAAAGCAAGTCAATGACCATGAAGCCATAAAGGATCTCCAACTGCTCGAGGTGTCAGTTTCCTACTCAGTAGAGAGAAGAATGTGAACTTATCAATAGGTAGATTTAAGTGACAAATACAAAAGCATTTGAAAAAATTGTCTTCAGTAGTTTTAAAATACAAACAAGGCAGAACAAATAGCTAAAAAAGCATAAATGAAATTTTAAGACATAACTTCCCAAATGCTTTACTATGATACTTAATAAATTCTCATCTCATTGAGTCAGATCCAACTCACAGTTCATTTTCCATTGGATTTCTAAGGCTATTAATACAAACGAGGAGACTGTCCATCTCTCCACCAAGGAGCTGCTGGTGCAACTGAACCACCAGAGTTGTGGCCTCTGGCTCAACAACCCAACTCCCCATGAACCAGGACACTGGGCACTCCCTCGTTAAATTAAAAGGGACTGGATTATTTAACGACTAACATCTTAAACACCTATTCTATAATCTACAAAGCTCTCAAAACACAGGGTTTATATTAATTTATTTAACCTATGTGCTGAAAAATATTGTGTTTTACTTTCTTTCTAAACCAACAGTGAAAGCAGAATCTGTGCCACTGAAAGAAAATCTCACCTTCTTGGAAAAAACCTTATTTGTTTAGTAACCTCAACACAAAATATTAATGAGTTTATATAACAAGACTTTAGAGACACTGAGTTCTGCTGTTACTGTCAATGTGCTGTCAAATCAGAACTGATTCAAAGCTGAACCTGCAGCAGGTTTTCAGAGGTTGAAAATCACACAAGAGATGACAGCGCACCTTTTTACTACAGAGCACCTGGTGGATTCAAACTGCCTGTCTCACACTTAGGACAACAATTATATATATTTATAATTATAGATTTATTTATATTTGTAATTATAAGTTGTTGTTATTATAAGCCATCGAGTCGCCTGCAACCCAGAGCGACCCTATGTACAGTGCCTCGGAATCCTGCCCCATCTTGAACCTATCTCACTAATTCTGACACACCAAACCCCAGTGCCCCAATTTCTGTGTCAATCATGCAGGGTCTGTCCCCCCACCCTTCTAAGCATGATGTCCTTTTCCAAGAAATGGTCTCTCCTGGCCACGTGGACAAAGGATGTATTATAAATTATATATGTAAATATATTATATATAATATAAAAATATGAGTGTGTGTGTGTGTGTGTGTATAAACAACAACATATCAAAATGTTTAAGTACATTTCAGAAGAAAATTTTCATAGCTTCTAATATAATCAATCTATACAGATGTATATTTAGACAATTCCTAGATTGGTAAAACATATTTAATGTACAAGAACAGTCATAGCACAAATGCTTTTCTTGATGGCATACAAAGAAGTATACTAACCTGGCAGTGCCATCAGATGATGCAGTAAGGATATAGCGATCATCATACGACCAGCAAAGATCATAAATGATATTGAGATGGCCACACAATTCTCTCATGTATCGTCCAGAAGGGATTTCGTATACTAACGAAAATATTTATAAATTAGTATGCTTTCAAATAGAAAATTCTTAGTCAAGAAAATTTTTAATGTAATCAATCCACAAATTCTTAATTTACATTAACTTAGACCTGAGGTAGAGTTGGTAAAAAAATTATAATCAAAGAAAATACAATGCAAGCAAAACTTTCAAATCTTTGCAAGAAGAGCTTTCCTTCATACTTCAGAGGCAAGAATCTGTACATAGAAAATTTGATAATACACACTGATCAAAAATTATTTTCCTCTTTTCAAAGCAATCCTAAAAATCTGATATTCAAGTTACTAATAAACTCATAAATATATTTAAATTGCTATTAACTTTAAATATTGTATATATGTTGTTGATTGCCATTGAGTTGAGCAAGACACAGCAGCCCTATAAACAAAAGGCCTGAAGGCTTTCTTTAACTATCGTCATTTATCAAAGTTCATAGAGTTTCCACAGGCATGTTGTTTAGGAAGTGGATGCCACTCCTGCTTTGAGGCATTTTCATTAGCCTTCCCAGAAGAGAAAGTGAAACTTTTGAGAATTGGCACAAAATGAGATTGCCTTGCCTTTCTGGATCTTGTAAAGTTTTTGCTTTTGACAGGGTGGAATTTTTCTCTTTTATTTGCTTATTTCAGTTGAAAGATTTGGATTTTCTGTGACAGGTTTCTGTTGTGTAAAGGTTTGAACATTTACAGGTTTTACTGTAATAATTGAGTTGAAATCCAATTAGCTTTCAATCAAGATTTTAATTATATGAAATAGTGATAAAAAGAAGCAATGCTCAGAAGAAGAAAAAACAAAAACATCTAAAACTGAAATTACCAACACAGCAAGGGAATTAACAGAGATACAATTTGATAAAGTAATATATTACTCAATATTATATGGACAAATTTCCAAGCCTCTACTCCCACCTAGTGGTAAAACTGTTTTTCCTTTAAAACAATTTTAGTAGCACTTCCAGTTAGTAATTAAAGATTTCTACTAATATGCAACAAATGCTTAATTAAAAAAGAAATACTGTAAGTCCTCTCACTACCTTTCAATTTCCAGATAGTAGGGCAATAATTAAAATAAATTCAAATCTAGCATAAGAAATGAGATTAGAATGAAAATGAAAAAAATATGTAAAATAAACAAGTGGTTTTTTTAAAAAAGAGATCAATATAACTGACAAATTTTTATCTAGAATGACAAGAAAAAAATATAAAAGACTCAAAATCTGAACATCAGGAATGGAAGAATACATACATATTACTGAAAACTATCAAAATAAAAAGAGAGTCCTGGTGGCAGAGCATATACCATATTGTATGGCTAACTAAATAAGGTCAGCAGTTCAAATCCACCAGTTTCTCCATGGGAAAATGATTGGCAGTCTCTTCCCATAAAAATTTACAGCACTGGACATCCAATAGAATTGGAATGGACGAAACAGCAGTGGGTTTGTTATCAATATTATGAAAAATGCTAAGCAAAAATCTCTAAGAAGCTTGTCTATATAAAAATGAATGTGACATGAGGACTTCAGTAAGATGCAACAATTTTCTATATGAAGATGCCATAATCTTGCTTTAATAAAATGAGGAAGACTTGAACTACCTATTGATGAAGATTAAACATTAAAGTTTCAATATGTTACCTCAAAATAAAGAATTGTTACAACCAGAGAAATGAATAAGGCCTTGAAATTACCACAGCTTTCATTTTACTTGGCTCTAGAGTCCACACCCATGTTTATTGTGGCTTTGTTCACAATAGCAAGGAGTTGGAAATAATCTCTGTGCCCATCAACGGTGGATAGATAGAGAACCTGTGGTATATTCACACAATGGAATACTAACTATGCTGCA